AGGTGGCAGGGGTCCTAGCGGGCCAGAGCGGGGGCAGGAACACCTCTTGAAGCCTGGCCGTGGGAGGCTCAACAGCACTCAGGCCACAGTCTGTTGGCCAGAAGCAAGGCCAGCCTCTCGTTTAGGGGAAGTTGTGCAGAGAATCCGTGTCCAGTTTGTTTTTGTTTTTTTAATTATTTTTGGCTGTGCTGGATCTCTGTTGCTCCGTGGTGTTTTTCTAGCTGCAGCGAGCAGGGGGCTCCTCTCTGGTTGCGGTACGCTGGCTCCTCGTGGTGGCTGCTCCTGTCGCGGAGCACAGGTTCTGGGGCACGTGAGCTCGGCAGCCGCAGCTCCGGGGCTCAAGCGCAGGCTCAGCAGTTGTGGCACACGGCCTTAGCTGCCCTGCAGCATGTGGGTCTTCCCAGACCAAGGACCAAGCACATGTCTCCTGCGCTGGCAGGCAGAGTCTTTACCCCTGAGCTGCCAGGGAAACCATGCGTCCAGTTTTAATTTGCTGTTTGATGAGTGCACTTAAGTGTGATAAAAGCTTAGGATGGTGCATGAACATAAATGGTCTTGTATGTAACTTGACTTTCATTCTCAAATCTATTGGCTTCAGCCTTACTAACATTTTATTACAGCTGATAATCCATGTGTATTAAGCCTCTTGTAAGGGCTAATAGGAAGGATCCTATAATGGCTAATAATACAGTTCTTCATTTTGGTTTGTTCTTTTGGAATGTTTATCATTTAAAAACCAGCAATGAAATCATCATTATGGAGAATTAGGACTGGATTTACTTTTAATTTTGCCCTGTGTTTATTTTTACATTGTGAACGGGGAGAAGGAGGGTAGAGGGGAGAGAGGAAGGCCCCAAGTGTCATCATCTTAGCGCCTGGGGCCCCTTCCCGGTCATCTTTCAGCCCTGAAAGGGTTGGATGATGCAGAGGTTGAAGTGGTAGAGCTGCTAAACAGAAACCAGTGTGTGCATTTGAAACTTCAGGTCTGCATTCGTTACACATTTGCCTTTACACATAACAAAATGTTGGGTTATCACAAGGAAAACATGCAGTGACAGACTGGTGCTGTGCAAACTTTTATAGTGTAAATAGAAAAAAAATTAAGTTTTGTGTGATAGTTCATTTACAGACTGAATTTATGTTAAATTGTTGGCTGTTCAAACTGCAGTCTTACTATAAGTAGTGAACAGACCTATTTTTATGTGTGAATTAAAATTAAACTGGATTTTTTTTTCCCTTACAGGTAAGAAAGAGCATCATTATATTCATAGTTTGTTCCATCTTTTATGCATGTAATAGATACTGGTTTTGTTACAGTAAGTCGTTAACCACAAGGAGGAGACTTTTTTTCAGTTCTTATGGGATTGCACTGAGTTTAAACTATCTCAGAATCAGTCAGAAGAAACTATGCTGGAATTTTTATTTGGGGCTCTGGACATCTATTTTTGCTTTTAGAGAGTTTTTAAATATTGCTATTCAGCATTAATTCTCTTCGTAATCTAAGTGGAAGTTTCATAGGATACAAATTTCAAAATAATTTATAGAATTTTAAGATGGCCTTTTAAAATTATATAATAACTGACTTTTTCAGAAGGGAAATAGGAAGAGAGAAAGAAAGAAAGGTCTTAAAGATAATATTGAGGTCAACCTTTTGGTATGTTTAAAGCTATATAAACTGACAATGTTTCTTCTCCTTTTGAATTGTCATCAAAATTTATTGCTTAGAAATTTTTTAAAATTAATTTTAATTGGAGACTAGTTGCTCTACGGTATTGTGGTGGTTTTTGCCATACACTGACATGAATCAGCCACAGGTGCACACGTGTCCCCCATCCTGAACCCCCTCCTTCCCCGCCCCATCCCTCAGGGCCGTCCCAGTGCACCAGCTTTGAGTGTCCTGTTTCACGCGTCAGACGTGGACTGGCGATCTGTTTCAGTGTTATGATAATATACGTGTTTCAGTGCTATTCTCTCAGATCACCCCACCCTCGCCTTCTCCCACAGAGTCCAAAAGTCTGTTCTTTACATCTGTGTCTCTTTTGCTGCCTCGCATATAGGGTTGTCATTACCATATTTCTAAAGTCCATATGTATGCGTTAATATACTGTATTGGTGTTTTTCTTTCTGACTTACTTCACTCTGTATAATAGGCTCCAGTTTCATCCATCAAGCACATGTCTCCTGCGCTGGCAGGCAGAGTCTTTACCCCTGAGCTGCCAGGGAAACCATGCGTCCAGTTTTAATTTGCTGTTTGATGAGTGCACTTAAGTGTGATAAAAGCTTAGGATGGTGCATGAACATAAATGGTCTTGTATGTAACTTGACTTTCATTCTCAAATCTATTGGCTTCAGCCTTACTAACATTTTATTACAGCTGATAATCCATGTGTATTAAGCCTCTTGTAAGGGCTAATAGGAAGGATCCTATAATGGCTAATAATACAGTTCTTCATTTTGGTTTGTTCTTTTGGAATGTTTATCATTTAAAAACCAGCAATGAAATCATCATTATGGAGAATTAGGACTGGATTTACTTTTAATTTTGCCCTGTGTTTATTTTTACATTGTGAACGGGGAGAAGGAGGGTAGAGGGGAGAGAGGAAGGCCCCAAGTGTCATCATCTTAGCGCCTGGGGCCCCTTCCCGGTCATCTTTCAGCCCTGAAAGGGTTGGATGATGCAGAGGTTGAAGTGGTAGAGCTGCTAAACAGAAACCAGTGTGTGCATTTGAAACTTCAGGTCTGCATTCGTTACACATTTGCCTTTACACATAACAAAATGTTGGGTTATCACAAGGAAAACATGCAGTGACAGACTGGTGCTGTGCAAACTTTTATAGTGTAAATAGAAAAAAAATTAAGTTTTGTGTGATAGTTCATTTACAGACTGAATTTATGTTAAATTGTTGGCTGTTCAAACTGCAGTCTTACTATAAGTAGTGAACAGACCTATTTTTATGTGTGAATTAAAATTAAACTGGATTTTTTTTTCCCTTACAGGTAAGAAAGAGCATCATTATATTCATAGTTTGTTCCATCTTTTATGCATGTAATAGATACTGGTTTTGTTACAGTAAGTCGTTAACCACAAGGAGGAGACTTTTTTTCAGTTCTTATGGGATTGCACTGAGTTTAAACTATCTCAGAATCAGTCAGAAGAAACTATGCTGGAATTTTTATTTGGGGCTCTGGACATCTATTTTTGCTTTTAGAGAGTTTTTAAATATTGCTATTCAGCATTAATTCTCTTCGTAATCTAAGTGGAAGTTTCATAGGATACAAATTTCAAAATAATTTATAGAATTTTAAGATGGCCTTTTAAAATTATATAATAACTGACTTTTTCAGAAGGGAAATAGGAAGAGAGAAAGAAAGAAAGGTCTTAAAGATAATATTGAGGTCAACCTTTTGGTATGTTTAAAGCTATATAAATTGACAATGTTTCTTCTCCTTTTGAATTGTCATCAAAATTTATTGCTTAGAAATTTTTTAAAATTAATTTTAATTGGAGACTAGTTGCTCTACGGTATTGTGGTGGTTTTTGCCATACACTGACATGAATCAGCCACAGGTGCACACGTGTCCCCCATCCTGAACCCCCTCCTTCCCCGCCCCATCCCTCAGGGCCGTCCCAGTGCACCAGCTTTGAGTGTCCTGTTTCACGCGTCAGACGTGGACTGGCGATCTGTTTCACATATGATAATATACATGTTTCAGTGCTGTTCTCTCAGATCACCCCACCCTCGCCTTCTCCCACAGAGTCCAAAAGTCTGTTCTTTACATCTGTGTCTCTTTTGCTGCCTCGCATATAGGGTTGTCGTTACCATATTTCTAAAGTCCATATATATGCATTAATATACTGTATTGGTGTTTTTCTTTCTGACTTACTTCACTCTGTATAATAGGCTCCAGTTTCATCCACCTCATTAGAACTGATTCAAATATGTTTTTTTAATAGCTGAGTAATATTCCATTGGGTATAAGTACTACAACTTTCTTATCCATTCATCTGCCGATGGACATCTAGGTTGCTTCCATGTCCTGGCTATTGTAAACAGTGCTATGATGAACACTGGGGTACATGTCTCTTTCAATTCTGGTTTCCTCAGTGTGTATGCCCAGCAGTGGGATTGCTGGGTCATGTAGCAGTTCTGTTTTCAGTTTTTTAAGGCATCTCCACACTGTTCTCCATAGTGGCTGTACTAGTTTGCATTCCTACCAACAGTGTAAGAAGGTTCCCTTTTCTCCACACCCTCTCCAGCACTTATTGTTTATAGACTTTTTGATAGTAGCCATTCTGACCGGTGTGAGATGGTATCTCATTGTGGTTTTGATTTTCATTTGTCTGATAATGAGTAATATTGAGGTATTTTTCATGTTTGTTAGCCATCTGTATGTCTTCTTTGGAGAAATGTCTGTTTAGTTCTTTGGCCCATTTTTGATTGGGTCATTTATTTTTATGGCTTAGAAATATTTTTAAGCATTTAATAAAAGTCACCAAATGAAACTTAATAAAAATTTGGAATTACAGAAGCCTTGACACAAAAAGTGTCAAAATTCATCAGCACATGCCCAGTGATGGGAATTCCAAGTGTGTTTTTGGCACCATGGCAAGCATGAATTAATGTGGCCTTGAATTAGACTGATGTAACTGACCTTTCAGAGACTCTAGCCAGGTTCAGTTTTAAACAGCTGCCTGGATAATAAAAATCCTCTGCTAGGTTCTTCCAACTCATGTGAGAATGCTGTTATTCCAAATAATAGTGGGAAGTTTCCAGTGCTCTGAAATGAAATTGTATTGAATAGGATGGGTATTAGTATTTCTATTTCTACAGAGGCGCACACACACAAAACGCGACTGCTGAGTTGGAGTTTCATTCCTCTGGTCCCCAGTAAAGTCCTGTTTCCCCCACATCCTGTGGTTCCTCTGAACAGTCAAGGTGTCCTGAGGGTGCCGCCAGCCTGGGAGCAGATGCTCAGTCCATGTGTGTTTCATTTTCTAGATTTCGCCAGAGGTTTGAGTATCACTACTCCTGAACAGATGATTGAAAAGGCCAAAGGGGAAACTGCTTATTTGCCATGCAAGTTTACCCTCAGTCCGGAAGACCAGGGGCCGCTGGACATCGAGTGGCTGCTGTCACCAGCAGATAACCAGAAGGTGGATCAAGTGGTAAGTGCTGCTCACTGGGCAGATGTCGGGGGAACCTGTTTGGTGTCTGTCACTGTGTTGATACTGTAGGTGGGGGGACACGGGGAGCTGTGAAGAAAGCCTGAGACTTCCTCGGCTTGCAGCGTAGGGGAGAAAGGCAGATGCTGGGAGAAAAAGCACCCTGATGTAATGGAGTGAAATCCTCAGATTTCAGAGGAAGGAAAGGTCACCAGACTTCTTACACAGGGCTGCAAGGAAGAAGGCGATCTTGAGAATGTTCTGAAAATCTGGCCTTGGACGTGTGTGTGGCCCAGGGGCCTTGGGAGGCGTGTACGGAGCGGCATGTTTTCTGCAGGGAAGCGGGTGACCTGTCAGGGGGCAGCGGGTAAACTGGACGTTGTGAGAGGTTAGATAGAAGTGAATTTCCAAGTTTCACACAAGAATTCCATCACCAGTATAAGGGTCAAGTCTAACAGAGGAGCGAAGGTACATATCATTACAGTCTCTTTTCCATATTTTTGTAAGTTAAATATCCTGTATGTTGAGTGCCTTAAAAAACAAAATAGCAGTTGGCCCTCCAGATCTGTGAGTTCTGCATTGGTGGATTAAACCAGTTATGAATTGAAAACATTCAGGTAAAAAAAATTCCAGAATATTCCAGACAGCAAAACTTGAACTTCCCACATGCCAGCAACAATTTACATAGCATTTACATTGTATTAGGTATTCTAGATAAAGGTAATCTGGATAAAGTATATGGGATAATGGATAAGTGACCTCAGATTTCAGAGGAAAGAAAGGTCACCAGACTTAAAGAAGGCTGCAAGGAAGAAGAGGAGCTTGAAAATGTTCTGAAAATCTGGCCTTGGAAGTGTGTGTGGCCCGGGGGCATGGGAGACGAACAAGGAGCAGGCATGATAGCGCGCAGGGATGTGCATGACATGCCGGGGACGCTATCACACGTCATCTAGATGAGGATATGGGAGGAAGCGTATACTTTACCATCTCATACGTGTGTCAGACTTCCCTGGTGGCTTAGTGGTAAAGAATCCGCCTGCTAATGTAGGAGACACAGGTTCGATCCCTGGATCACGAAGATCCCCTCGAGAAATGGCAACACCTGCTCCAGTTTTCTTGCCTGGGAAATCCCATGGACAGAGGAGCCTGGTGGGCAACAGTCCTTGGGGTCACAGAAGAGTTGAATACGACTTTAGCGACTAAACAACATATTTACACCCTCTTATTTGAGGGAGCTGAGTATCTGTGGATTTCGGCATCTGAGGGAGGGAAGGGGGAAAGGGAGGAGGTCCTAGAACCACCCCCCCACCCCCACCCCATGGTTACCTAGGGATGACTGTCTTGTTACAGAATTTTTTCTAGTTACACCTGAACAGGGACCTAATGTAGAAAACCCCATTACTCTGTGACCCATAGTCAGAGGCATTTTTATAAAGGTGATTAAGGAACTAAATAATTAAAGCAAGCTTGGTCAGTGAAGGCAAGATACAAGTGGAAGGGTTTTTATAAGCTGTTCTCTTATGTACTATTCTGTAAGACAAGCTCAAGGCTTTCTGTTAGTCACCAGTTTCCATTAACCCTGTGGGGCGCGATTTCAGCCCCGTCTACAAATAAATGTATCACACTTTTAATGGTACCATAATATTTCACTTCATTTAGAATGCCTCATATTAGCTTTGCCTAACATACTTAAAAATAAGTCAATGTTAACAAATACTATTAAACCAGGGAGAGAAAAAGAAGTTCAAATATTTGGAGTAATGTTGTACTATATATATATATTTGGAAGGGAAATTTTTACTTGTGGTCCATATTTTAAAAAGGGGTTATCCAGGCAGTTAGTGGCGGAATCAGTGCAGTTAGGTAATTAACTGTTTTTGGCAAATACAAGTAGTGTGCCCATGATGTTTTTGTGAAGGAAAAAATTAAGGTGCTTTCCCGAGTTGTAAATGGCTGGGGCCACTCCCTCCAAGGATAGATCTCTACCCTGATTCTGATATGAGAACTTCCTTCTCTCCCTGAAGGAAAAGAAATTGAGCCCGACTCCTCCTGTCTACTCAGCCCAGATACCCTGCCCCCCTCCCATCTTGCTCTTCATCCCTCCCCTCTTTCCATGACTGTGCCAACACCCTGAACTCAGGCCTGAGCCCCTGCATGCCCCTCATTCCTTTGCCAGTGAAGTGCCCACCTCCTTTAGAATCCAGGACTCTGGTTCCACGGTTAAGATGTGAGAATGGAGAGCCCAGATCCCGGCTTAAGGCTCAGGGGTGAAGCCCTGTGACAAGGTGCCTCTTGAGACCAGAAAAGCCGGTGTGTCCTGCAGCCTTGGGTTTCCATCCAGGGAGGGAGAATCCAGGGACTTCTGAGCTAAGTGGAGGCCCAGCCTCACGGGCCACAGGACCTGGGAGACAGATGTGATCGTGGGTGCTGGGCTGAAGTGTCCATTTCTGGGTTAAGACACCTAGCCTCTGACCTAAAGCACAGTAAATAAGGCCACAAGAAAGAAGGGTTAGGGAGAGATTGATGCAGAGGAGGACACATGCATAGAATTAGAGCTGTATTAGAATGCTTGCTAAATCCTTGTAATATTTTTAAGCTAGCAGGCAGTGTGATGGGGGCCTGGGCTGGAGAAATTTCCCTCCTCATTCCCTGTGTGATCTCTTTAATCAGCAGTTACAATGTACTTAGGCACTTACCGTGTGCTGGGCTGGACAAGGTTTTATATGCTTTAATTATATATACTTACTTAAGTCTTAAAACAACACTCCAGAATGAAGATCATTATACATGTGAGGAGGAGGAAAAGGAGGCCCAGAAATTTAAGGAGCATGCCCAGGGTCACGTAGCTGGCAACAGACACAGCAGGGCTTTTGAGCCCAGATCTCTCCAACTACTCCCCCCACCCCCCGCCCCAACCCCATCTGGATTATCTTTTGCAGTATCATGTACTGCCTCCCACATTTCACAATCCTCCGTTTCCTCTTATGTGAACTAAGAACAGGGACACCTGCTTCTCAGGGTTGTGATAAGAATTTTCTGAAAGTACTGTATGCTTTAGTGTTCTCTGAGTCTACAAGTCATTCAGAAATGTTCATGCAGGCACCCTGCGATGCCAGACCAGATGGATCTGGTTTGCATCGCAGCTGTATGACCGAGAGAATTGGCCTGTGACAGCCACTGCCTTCCGCAGGGTTAAAAGGTTAGATGTGGATCGTGCCTCCATCCCCATTGGGCTGTAAAGAGGAATCAAAATTGCCTGGTACATGTTACTTCCCCATTTCTTAGCTCCTGTTTATAAAATTGTTTTCATGAGAACATGACCAAGTTCATTTACAAAAATGACAGTGAAGACAGATTTGTCAGGCCCTCCTTGAAAGGCTGAGCTTCCAGGTGGCTCAGTGGTAAAGAATCCTCCTGCCAATGCAGGAGACTCCACTTCGATCCCTGGATCAGGAAGATCCCCCTGGAGAAGGAAATGGCAATCCGCTCCAATATTCTTGACTGAGAAATCCCACGGACAGAGGATGCTGGCGGGCTATGGTTCATGGGTTCGCAAAGAGTTGGACATGACTTAGGGATTGACAACTAGGGACTCCTAGAAAGGTGTGTGTGTGTGTGAGAATGAGGGATTCAAAGTATCATGGGTTGAGCTTCCTGGCTTTTCACAACAAGAGAGTCCATAGGTTAATACAGAGGAAGATACACTTAAGGAGTTCTCAGTACTGCTGTTGACAGGTGGATGTGGACAGAGATGGAGCAGATAAAGTGATGGCTTGTGTTTACGGAGCAAGTCAGCTGTAGACCCTTCAACTGCTTTTATTTACTTAGCAAGCTGATATTGAGTGCTTCCTCAGTGCTGACTGTTAATATATAAGCAAAAGATCTTTAGTGAATTAGGAGCGAGATCAACATGGTAGAGGAGGTGATGAAAGAAAACCCAGGTCTGTGCTCTGGAGAAATTCCTACACATACTGCTGATTCTGATCTTACTGAACATATGAGATAAAAGGTCTGCAGGATGTATGCTAGTTTTCTGATTATTATTTAAGTTTGGTACTATTGCTCTTTGGCCCTTGGGTCTCAGATGGCCAGAATGAAGGACTTCATGAGTGAATAAAATGTATAACGTATTTAATTTTCAGTTCAGTTCAATCACTCACTTGTGTCCAACTCTTTGTGACCCCATGAATCATAGCACACCAGGCCTCCCTGTCCATCACCAACTCCTGGAGTCTACTCAAACTCATGTCCCTCAAGTCGGTGAGGCCATCCAGGCATCTCATCCTTTGTCGTCCCCTTCTCCTCCTGCCCCCAATGCCTCCCAGCATCAGGGTCTTTTCCAATGAGTCAGCTCTTCGCATGAGGTTAATCCCTTTTGGGGGAGTAGTGGTGGTGGTTGATAACCCGATTTTATACAGTTAATTGGTGTACCTCTTTCTCTGAGGCAGCTGAGAAGCAGAGTGTTTAAGAATTCACAAACCCACGCTCCTGTGGGTCTCCCTAAACGGCTCGCGTAGAGGGCTGTCTTTAATCATGTCGGGTCTTGCTTTCCCATCTGTAATGACCGTGTGTGACCATACTTAAGGGTCATATTGGCCTCTTTCCATTTTCTTGAGAGCTCATTTGGAGATTCTAGTAGGAGAGCACAGCTACCTGTTATACCCTTGACTGAAGACCGGTCCTCCTCTTTCGGGAAAGGTCTTCATCTCCCAGTGAGTGAGCCGCTTCGGGAGGGGCGCTCCTGGAGTGGTGAGGGAGGAGGGGGCTAATCTAGCCAGCCAGATCGGCTGAATCAGCCCCAGCGATCAGTGGGCTGACAGATGTTGCAAACAGATCGCCCTCACATCCTCCTTCTGTTTTCTTAACCTGTGGTTTGAATAATTGTAGATTCCTCAGGATATTGTGTTCTTTTTATTTTGGATCCTACAGTACTGTGCTGTAACCAGAACTCCTTTAACAAGACAGGCAGTTCGCTTGCTTGCTTGTTTTCTCATTGTCTCATTTTGGCTTTCTTTCAGATTATTTTATATTCCGGAGACAAAATTTATGATGACTACTATCAAGATCTGAAAGGACGAGTACATTTTACAAGCAACGATCTCAAATCTGGTGATGCTTCAATAAATGTGACAAATTTACAGTTGTCAGATATTGGCACATACCAGTGCAAAGTGAAAAAAGCTCCTGGTGTTGGAAATAAGAAGATTCAGCTGACAGTTCTTGGTAAGTTATTTGTATCAGTGTTAATTATTAACAGGATAAGGGATCACAGTACTGTAGGAGCAGCATTTACGTGAGACAAAACTTAGAGTTCTAGAGTAGTAAGTTTAAATATTTGACATACTGTCCTCAAATAGCATAAAACATAGAGCTGGCAATTTTTTTTTTTATAGAAAAAATAAGTGAACAACTTCTTCGTGAAGTTCATGAAAGCATTTGAAAGTGAACGAAGGAGTCCTGTGATACGGGAGATGAACCCTAAGGCAGGAGAGGGGATCCAGACTTTTTGCCTTGTTCTCAGGTTTGCCCTAGGAATTAAATAAAACCTCTTCATTTCCTGGGCCTCAGCCGGCATTTTTGAAACATAAAAATAATTATCATTAAATCTCTATGCAGTCTCATTCACTTCAAAATTGTGATGTGTGCTTTAAGCTTTATCAAACCTCATGTCCCAAGGAATAAATGAGATTTCTATGATGAATAGTTGGAGTATTTAGAGCAGAGGAGATGGAATATGGTAGCTGGAATATTGAATTGGGGAAAGATCTCAGACAGTCTTTTAACCTCCCTGAACATCACTGTTTTTTCATCCTTAAAAGTAAGGAGGTTAGACAGATGCGCACTAGGACGTAGCTCTCCAGGACAGTTAAGAAGGAGAATAAGTATAAACTGCTTTGTGAAGATCATAGACTGAAAAGTTTATTATCCTTCTTCAGATTCTATGGTCATGCACAAGCACCCTTAAGCCCTGCAAACTGAGAAACACTTAATGGTATTGCTCAGAAATATTCTTCCAAAACCTTGCTGTGGCGGCTTTGCCCAAAAGTACAATGAGCTGCAGTGTAGAGAATCTCAACAGTCTGGCACTATTGTATGACAGTAAATTCCCATGTGACCTAAGGTGTCCGGTTTGGGGGACACTTGGGGACCCACTTCACATCAGAAATGCTGATTGCTGGAATTGTCTTCCATATCCCTGGAAAGACCTCATCTACACAAGTCTCCCTCACATCAGCTTCTACCTTTTGTTCCTTTTAATTTAGAGAACTGAGCAGGGCTTAAGTGTGTCGGATTCCGGACTCACTTAGAGCAGGCCAGTTCAGTCCAGTCTCAGTCGTGTCCGACTCTTTGTGACCCAATGAACTGTAGCACACCAGGCCTCCCTGTCCATCACCAACTCCCAGAGTCCACCCAAACCCATGTCCATCGAGTCAGTGATGCCATCCAACCATCTCATCCTCTGTCGTTCCCTTCTCCTGCCCTTAATCTTTCCCAGCATCAAGGTCTTTTCCAGTGAGTCAGTTCTTCACATGAGGTGGCCAAAGTACTGGAGCTTCAGTTTCAGCATCAGTCCTTCCAATGAACACCCAGGGCTGATCTCCTTTAGGAAGGACTGGTTGGATCTCCTTGCAGTCCAAGGGACTCTCAAGAGTCTTCTCCAACACCACAGTTCAAAAGCATCAATTCTTCTGTGCTCAGCTTTCTTTATAGTCCAACTCTCACATCCATACATGACCACTGAAAAAACCATAGGCTTGACTAGATGGACCTTTGTTGGCAAAGTATTGTCTCTGCATTTTAATATGCTATCTAGGTTGGTCATAACTTTCCTTCCAAGGAGTAAGTGTCTTTTAATTTCATGGCTGCAATCACAATCTGCAGTGATTTTGGAACCCAAAAAAGCCAGTAGAGACTAATTTTTGTGCATCCCAGCAACAACTTCCAGGGTTGTGGTTGATAAGGCAGTCTTCTGGAAACATTGTCGAGGGCATCCTGGTAAGAGGCACTCCATGCTGAGTGGAACTCATTCAGAATATGTCTATGGTATGAAAAAAAGTGAACATGAAGAGGAACTGGGAAAGGCAATATGGTAACATTGGAAAGTCTAGCCTTTTGTGTCTACATTCAGCAAACGTGGAGTTGCCTTTCTTTTTTATAAATGTGGGAGCTGGTAAAAGTTTAATAACTTGTCTGAACTCTTATCCCAGACCGTGACATACCTGAAATTATAACCCTGAGTGTATCTTCTTTGGGGCTTCCCTGGTGATTTCAGATGGTAAAGAATCTGCCTACAGTGCAGGAGACATGGGTTGGATCCCTGGGCTGGGAAGATCCCCTGGAGGAGGGAATGGCTACCCACTCCAGTATTCTCACTTGGAGAATCCATGGACAGAGGAGCCTGGGGGGCCACAGTCACTGCCTTCCAGGAAGTGTTGAGTTAGGATATATGTGGAATTTTAACTGGTTCCTGAGGTACCAAGCAGATTATACATATTTTTCAGAATTATTTACTGTGGAGTCCCTGTTTGATGGGGGCAGGTACACTGGGAGGGATGTGATTGGCACATGTTCCCAAAAGAGGTGTGGACAGATGCTCTGTGTATCTGTGTGTGTGTGTGTGTGTGTGTGTGTGTGTGAGAGAGAGTGTGAGAGAGAGAGAGAGAGAGCTCGTAGGGGCTGTCGCAGACTCTGGCCAGGCACACCCAAGGCGGCAGCCTTGACTGTCGGGCAGGAGGGATGGCCTTTTACATTAAACCCCACACCCCTGACATCTTCCTCCTCGGCCTGGATGGGTGGGAAGCACTGACACTAACTCCTTTTGTTCGCTCTGTGTGGGATCACCATGGCCAGGCAAGCCCTGGTGTCAAACCAGGGCGGGAGGGAGAGACTGAACGAGGGGCCAGGGGAGAGAGGGGCCAGTGGTGGCTGAAGGGGGAAGCGGGGATGACCTCTGACCTGCTGAGACTGTCTCAGAGCCAGAGGAGAATTTCTCCATCTCTCCTCCATGTTTTCAGATGAGTCAGGACCACTGTGGCAGAAGACACTAGAAGTTTCTCTTAAAAGTGAGAGCTGGATAGAAACTTAATTTGTTTGCTTTTTTCCTGAAAATACTGCTTAGGCAGTCTGGAGGAAAGATTAAACAAGTGCTTTATAGAGACCAGACTGTGCAGCCTCTGAGCTTCACTCTCAGAGGCTCGGCCTGATACTTCGATTTGCTTGTCTAAAATCTGTAGATGCCACCATGGCATCCCCATAGTAATGAAAACTTGTTTGGGGACTTCCCTGGTGGTCCAGTGATTGAGACCCCGAGCTCCCAATGCAAGGGTTGTGGCTTCGATCCCTGCTTGGGGAACTAAGATCAGCATGGCACAGCCAAAAAAACAATTAAAAAAAAAAAAAGAAAGCTTGTTCAGAGCCCTGGGTGTGTCCAGACGCAAAGGGGGGTGGCTGTTGGCTGTCTGGGTATGAGGGGTGGTGTGTCGCTGCTCCATGCTCTGTCGCTAGGGCCCGCCCTACTCTTTCAGATGCGCCAACTGTACAAGTGGATGCAACTCAATAAAGGAGCTGGACAGGGGTGATGATGACAAGGGTTAGTATGGTGGCTGCTCACTGCCAGCACCTTCCCTGGGAACTGCAGCAAAACCTGTTCCTGGGACCTCTTGGTGTAAATAGGCTTGGCTATTTTGGTGTATTTGGTGTACTCAGACTGCACCCGCACCATGAGAGGGGCATGTGCAGGGATTCAGTCAACACTGGGATTTATTTGTTTTTTTTCACTACTTTTTATTCTGAAATAATTTTGGTTTTACAGACAAGTTGCAAAACTAGCAGAAAGTTCATGAGAGTGTACCCATTACCTAATTTTTCCTAATGATAACATTTTGCAAAATCATAATACAATTACTAAAACCAATAAGTTAGTACTGAAGCTATACTGTTAACTACGGGCTTAATTTGAATTTTACAGCTTCCCATTAATGCCCTTTTGTACCTGGGTCAAGTCGAAGGTCCATGCTGAATTGATGTCCCCTTTAGTCCGCTCAAGTTAATGTCAAGGCGCACATGTTGTTCTGCCTTGTTGTTAACCATGGTCACTTGGTTTAAATTTTATCTGATGGATTTCTCCATTATAAAATTACTAATTTTCCCTCTGGGACTGAAAAATACCACCACCCCCAAATCCCCAGTACCAGCTCTACCACCACCACCCCCCTCCCCCAAATCCCCAATACCAGCTCTTTGTATATAAAATAAAAGTTTGAAAACTTAAAAAAAAAAATCCCAGTGGAGGAGCCACTTTGACACTTTGCAAATATCCTTTCACCTCAAACTTTTTGCCTCTCGATTTTTAGCATCTATGCATGGATTTCACCAGAAGTCAGGGTATTTTGAACTAAGCAAAAATACTATTCCTGGGTGGATGACATGATGATAAAAGTATATTCTGTCCCAGACAGAGATTTAGAGTATTTTCTGTAGTCTGAGGTAGGGGGCCCCTAGCTTGGAGGGAGTGATGATATAACACACAGATGGAACACAGCATTACTAAATTGGTGGGATCCCAACCAAGTGCAAGTTGAAAGTCATAGATCTTTAGCTGAGAAGGATTATTTATTGGTTTTGTCACTGAACATGGTGACCGATGTTGTGAAGACAATGACTGGGTATCCTGGAGCCCCAGACTGAAGAAATGTTAGATGATAAAACTTGATGTTTGTTCCCTTTCTGGTTTTATCTTTCAGTTCAGCAAGGTGCCATGGATTAATAGTTAATCTTCCCTATACTGGGATGGGTAAAATTATAATATGGTTAGTGGTTGGGGTTGCCATGTAAAAGACTTGGCCTTTCTCCTCCCTTTGGAAAGCAGGTAGCCACCCCTAGGCGGGGTTTCCCAGGTGTCACTAGTGGTAAAAAGCCCGCCCGCCAATGCAGGAGACATAGACTCGAGTTCAGTCCTTGGGTTGGGAAGATCCCCTGGAGGAGGATATGGCAGCTCATTCCAGTATTCCTGCCTGGAGAATCCCATGGACAGAGGGGCCTGGTGGGCAACAGTCCATGGGGCTGCACAGAGTTGGACATGACTGAAGCAGCTTCCACACCTGCACTCCTCAGCGACACTCACTCAGACCTAGTGTTGGTAAAATCTTGCTCTGTTGTGGATGGAGTATCTTGAAGTCTCAAACTCAGTGGAACCCTGACTTCCTGAACAGCTGCTGTAAATAACTGCCCATTATTGAATATGTTTGGGAGAAGGACATTTTCAGTAGAAAAAAAGTTTAGGGTTAGGTTAGAATGCTGTATTACCAATAGAGGCTTGATGTCCAAAGCATTGCTTCAATATCTCACTTACTGCTAGTCTGTGTAATAAAGGATTTATTGGTAGTCTGCAAAAACGGAGAACAAGACTTACTGAAGACTCAAAGGATGAAATACTTGTGCAAAACTGATTCAGAAGTCCAAATGATGTAGTGTCCAGGGCAACTGATAGATGTGAAAAAGAAACAGGTTTGCTTAGGAAAATCAACAATGCAGTTAAATGCATCTGTTGATCCTTATTAAAAAGTGTAAGTTGTAACAGACAAAGGGGAGAAATCCAATTAAAATTTAGAATTATCAAGAAATGTGTGAAGTGAGACCATGATGAACACCCTTAGTTAAAGAGGCCTCACTGGGAATGACAGATCCTGTCAGCTAGATTTGGAAAACAGTTTGACATTTTCTTATAGAGTTAAACATCACTAACCTGATGTGAAAGAGGAAAACATATAACAGCACTTAAGAAGCAGCATTGTTTATAACAGTGCAAAACTGTAAAACCCATTCACATTTATTCTTAGTAGTGAAAAAATAAAAGCCCAACCAGGACTTGAAAGACTCAACAAAGAAAAAAGCAGTCCTGCTGTTGATCAGACTGGGAGGGTGGCTGCAGGTAGTCAGGTCGGGGGTCTCTGGGAAGGTTGCTCTCCAAAGGGTGTGGAGCGTTGGTAAACTCTCGCCTGCAGCTGTCTCCTCGCTGTTGCCCCCCGAGACACGTGCACTGCGGGGACTCAGGCTGCTGGATTGTCCTCATCTCCAGTTTAATCTTCGCTTCTAATCCTGCTGCAGAAACGGCATCAGATTCAGAACTGGTCTCTGCTCTTGAAGACTCTTCTCCGGACCTTCAGACTCTCTCACTGCCTTTCCAGTGACATGCCACCGCTTCTCACAGTGCCTCATCCCCAGTCCATCTGATTCCCGCTGACTTCACACCCACTCCTGGTCTAACTGGACTTTGGTAGTAACCCCCAGACAGAATCAGTATTCATCAATATCTGAATGAACAAGCAAATTTATGTTACAGTCAATGGGATCCAACTCAGCAATAGGAAAAAACAGATAACATATATATATACAATAACATGGATCAATTGGATCAATCTCAAAATGAAGAGAAATTAAAGAGCCTCTTGATGAGGGTGAAAGAGGAGAGTGAAAAAGCTAGTTTAAAACTCAACGTACCAAAAAACTAAGATCATGACATCCAGTCCCATCACTTCATGTCAAATAGGAAGGGAAAAAGTGGAAGCAGTGGCAGATTTTATTTTCTTAGACTCCAAAATCACTGCGGATGGTTACTGCAGCCAGGAAATTAAGACAGTTGCTCCTTGGAAGGAAAGTTATGACAAACCTAGACAGCATATTAAAAAGCAGAGACATTATTTTGCCGACAAAGGTCCATCTAATCAAAGCTGTGGTTTTTCCAGTGGTCACGTACAGATGTGAGGGTTGGACCATCAAGAAGGCTGAGCACCAAAGAATTGCTGCTTTCAAATTGTGGTGCTGGAGAAGACTCTTTGAGAGTCCCTTGGACAGCAAGGAGATCAAACCGGTCAATCCTAAAGGAAGTCAACTCTGACTCCACTGAAAGGACTGATGCTGAAGCTCTAATATTTTGGCCACCTCATGCAAAGAGCCGACTCACTGGAAAAGACTCTGATGCTGGGAAAGATTGAGGGCAGGAGGAGAAGGGGGCGACACAGTCTTAAGATGGTTAGGTAGCATCACCGACTCAATGGACATGAAGTTGAGCAAACTCCAGGGATAGTGAACAACAGAGGAACCTGGCGTGCTGCAGTCCATGGGGTCACAAAGAGTTGGACATGACTGAGCAACTGAAAAGCAATAACAGAAGCCTTATGATGAATAAAAGAAGCAGAAGTGCATACTGTGTATTCCATTAATATGACTCACAGAGAACAGAACCAACCTGTAGCGGTTATGCAGTTCAGCAAGCGGGTATGAGCTGCCAGGGTGTTAACTAGCTTTGAGGTGGGTTGCATGTAATGGAGCTATTAGCAACTGCTCTAAACAGTACCCCAGAGAGACCTGGAGTATAATCTCAGAACTGCCTTTTTATACCACTGCTCTCTGGGAGGGCTTGGATTGCTATAACTATGGAATGTAATTGGCCCTTGCTGCTCTTATGTGAGTTTTCCATTTTATCAGCATACCTTATCATATACCCCCTGACTGTGGGCTAACAGAAGGATGTCACAGTGCACACACACTCCAAGAGGACTGCATACTCCCGGAAAACTATGCTGCCTGTCAAGGTCCAAGTATAAGAATAGGTTTAGGACTGGAGGGGAAGCATCCTTGGGTCTGAAGTAGGCCAGGCTGCATCATTCTTGCTTCTTTCAGATGTGCCCCGTGGGATGGAGGGGCACAGACCCGCGTCTGAGCTGCTGCCTGGCCTCTTACGCAATGGATGCTTGCCTGAGCTCATTCTCGCATGTTCTGTGCCGGACGCAGCTAAGGAAACTGGCCTTGGCAGCCTGTTTTAATCTTTCAGTCTTGTCTACTCCAAACCCAGGACCACTGCTCTTGATTTAGCGGTTTGCGACATGCTGTGTTTGTTTAAATCATCATTAGAAACATACATTCTGTTTTCCTGTATAAACTTATAACTTAATGTCTTTTCTTAGTTAAGCCTTCAGGTACAAGATGTTACGTTGATGGATCAGAAGAAATTGGAAATGACTTTAAACTCAAATGTGAGCCCAAAGAAGGTTCTCTCCCACTACGATATGAATGGCAGAAGTTATCCGACTCACAGAAACTGCCCACCTCGTGGTTACCAGGTACAGCTGATTATACAGCTTGATTCTGTGCCATTGATTTGAACTACAGCCTAGTAGGATTTGTGCACAGATGTATAGATTTTTTAATCCCAATTCTTCCCTTCCCTAGACAGGGCAATCAGGATTCTAAGGGAATTAGTGTTTTATAATGACACCTTGGTGTCACGTAGTATAAATGAAGAGACATTTTATAACTGTTTAGGATATTATCATTGATTTCTTTGGTGTATATTTTTAATTACCAGTAATATTGATGGAAACTTCATTATCATAAATTAGTGGCTAAGCTACAACGAGAGATGGATCTTGAGTGTTTCGGCTGGATTCAGGTTGAAGATATGGTTATTTACACGTGGCATGTTTGTAAAAACAAAGCAAGGTAGCTGTGTGACACTATCCATGATGATTCAAATGTGTTAAATCTGATCGCTCGTCTATGTGTTATAATCAATCTATTCAAACTGATTAATCCCCCTCCACCCCCTGTCCTCCGTAGGATCTCTCTCCACCTCTGTGTCTTTTTTCAGACCGAGAGGCTGAACAGTGGGACCCCTTCTGCGTTTCTGTCTCTTCTGTTTGGGGGATGAGATGCATTTTGCAGATCTTGCTGCTGCACCTAAGAGCTTTCATGCCACGAAGTATTTTTTATAATCCGCGTGGCTCTGTTTCAGCAGAGACTCTGTGCCTGACCGAAGGGTTCATGGTTACTTTGGCTCTGACGTGAATGGACTGGAGGCGCAGTGGTGTGTGTTCGGGAGACATGCACGTGTCTTACTGTGTTTGTTCTGCATCATGCTTCAGTTTGTCTTTTACCTGGATTGTGAACCAAGTAGGGTTTGCCTTTACTAGAAACTCAGCAGTCTGTTATTATAAAAATGGGTTTTGCTCCCTCACCCCCTCTTTCTTCCCATAGAAATGACGTCACCTGTTATATCTGTGAAAAACGCCAGCGCCGAATACTCCGGGACATACAGCTGTACAGTCAGAAACAGAGTGGGCTCTGATCAGTGCCTGCTGCGCCTGGATGTCGTTCCTCGTAAGCATCTTCTCTGTGCTCTGATGAGGTGGTTTCGTGATGTTTATGCAGTCACCTTTGGTTCCATCAGCAAGTGTGTGTGATGGGCAGTGGGATGCTGCCTTTGAGCAAAGCACTGTGGCTTGGTTACTCGCTTTTCTAAGACATGGAAGGGAAAGAAGTACTATATTTTATTAATAAAAGCTTCATTATTGTAGCACCATCATGGAGGCAAGAGTTGTCAGGTTAATTCTTGTACCATATTGAGCCCACGTAAGTGAGGCTTCCCTGCTGGCTCTAGTGGAAAAAACATCCATCTGCCAGTGCAGGAGATGTAAGAGATGCAGGTTCAATCCTTGGGTTGGGAAGATCCCCTAGAGGAGGGCATGGCAACCCGCTCCAGTATTCTTGCCTGGAGAATCCCATGGACAGAGGAGCCTGGCAGGCGGGGTCGCAAAGAGGTGGACACGACTGAAGCGATTTAGCACGCATGTGACTAAGGACGAATTACTTAGAACATTCTTATGCCAACCTAGATAGCTGTGAATAGTAAAATCTTTCAGAGTGATTTTATTGTTTTTATCCTTGAAATAGATTATGCAGTTCAGAAGAAAGTTCGTTTAGTAGATTTTCCCCGACAAGGAAAAGCTAGCTAATTTGTCTCTTAAAGTTAATATTGGCAATGAAATCGATCTGTTACTTTGTATCATTACCTTCAATATGACTAGGTAAAAAGTATTTTTGTTTTGTGTTGTTTTTACTATTAATTATTTTCTTGTTAACATCTTATCCTAGCTTCAAATAGAGCCGGGACGATTGCAGGAGCTGTTATAGGAACTTTGCTTGCGCTCGTGCTCATCGCTCTTATTGTCTTTTGCTGTCATAAAAAGCGCAGAGAAGAAAAATACGAAAAGGAGGTTCACCATGATATCAGGTAATTAAGTGACACAGGAGGTGACTGATACACTGAATTTATTACATCATTAAAGCGTTAGTTCTCTTAACCGTCTGAAGCATTTGGCTGCATGAGGACTGGATGAAAGCTGTAGCTTTTCCCCTTAACACATTTGAAAGCGTATATACTCATTTCAAGTGTGTGGAGCCAACTAACCTCTCTGCTACTTTGGGCCCTACTTTAAGAACCACTGCCGGATGCGCGTCTCAGGACTGTTTGCCTTCTCCCAGTAAAGTACAGGCATGAAGTTTTTAAGAAAAGAAGATGTTAAGGTTGGTTAACATCTTTAAAGGTCTGATTGTATCTAGTGACGTAGTTAGTTAACAGATCTATTGGTAATGTGATTTAATTTTTTAAAAATACTCTAAACCAGTAGATCTTAACCAGAAGTGAATTATAACATTGAATTATAGAAGTTGTAAAAATAACAACATATGACCAAAGTAACACCCAGAAAATTGACATTTGCTGAGTCTGGGGTGGGGTCTGGCACTTTTCTTTTCGAAGTGTACCAGAAGTAACTCAGATATATATTCTATGTCAGGGCTCATTATGAAAATTCTTATGCCTGCTTCTCAGGTTTTGCAAACTTAAATCTGCTAAGTTTTCAGCTAAAGTCTTAGATGAGTAGCTTTCATAATAAAAAGGATATTTTATCTTGGGTGTTTTTTTTTTTGGTTGAAATATCTGTCAGTTTATTGACTATGAAGTATTACACGACTATAACCAGATTATCTAGATCAGTGATACTAGAATATGAAAATATTTGAAGTTTGTTCTTTGCGAGACAACATTACAGAGTCATGCCTTTTTGTAAAAACCACATTTCATTGTGTGTGAAGATAGAAACTCTGTATTGATAATCTTGGGCCAAACACACACTTGATGACATCATGCCTTCCTGAGCGTGTTTTCCATGTGTCACTCACACTTTTACACACTTGGTGCTTAAATAGCGGCTCTTCCCTCATCCCTGCCCCTGATTCACAGCTCACATAGTGTAAGATTTTTTTAGAAACGTTCTTTGGGATCTTCGCTTTCTAGAGAAGACGTGCCTCCTCCCAAGAGCCGTACGTCCACTGCCAGAAGCTACATCGGCAGCAATCACTCATCCCTGGGATCCATGTCCCCGTCCAACATGGAAGGATATTCCAAGACTCAGTACAACCAAGTGCCAAGCGAAGACTTGGAACGCGCTCCTCAGAGTCCAACGCTCCCGCCCGCTAAGGTAGCTGCCCCTAACCTGAGTAGGATGGGGGCGGTGCCTGTGATGATTCCAGCGCAGAGCAAGGACGGGTCCATAGTGTAGGGCCTCTGTGCTCCTCACCCGTGCTCTCCTCTGGAAATAGGAACACCCGTACGTACGTTTTGCTACCAGCCTCAAAATACATGAGAAAAAAAAACAGCTAACCAAAAACTGTAAGAATAATACATCAAAAGTTTTGTTTGGTTATACTGAAATAGTAAAGGCATTGACGTTCTGAGGACAGATTCACTATCTAAATAATATTTCCTTTAAGAGCTTGACTTTATAGGTTTCTGAATATCAATACTTAAGTAAGATGTGGCACTTTGAATATGAAATCAGAGGTGAGGAAGGAAATTGGTGAACTTTCATGCACACCAAGTTGATACTTGAATCATCTGAAATTTCTGCCATTGTTTTTAGATTGTTTTTTTTCTACTTAATTTATGTGACCCAGTAGTGTTCCCCTAACCCCCTCAAGATCGGTAAAGAAAGATTCATGGCAAAAATACTTACATGCATTTATGTTTGTTCTTGTTTTCACTTCTTTGAAAGCTTTGTGTTTGAAATGTCTCTAATAACTAGAAAACACTACAGTGTTCTAGAAATCACCTGGTTCCGTTTAATTCATAAGCCTTGGATATGAAATGACTTCTTAAGTATTTAACGGATAGATTGCTGTGAGTGGCAGGGACATAGATAGATTGCTGGCAGGGACATAGTAGGCTCTTTGGTATGCTAAATTAAAGGAGCATTTATCTGATTCATTTGGAAAATTTGCTGTTACCTGTATACAGTGATGACACTAGTGGTGCAATAGTGAGGATGGATTTTGTTGATTAATGTTCCAGTGGCCCGAGGCCTGTGGTGGTCTGCAGAACAGTGACCTGCTATCGAAGATGTATAGTATTTTGCAGTTCCCAAGTAAATGCTGGCCCTGCGCTTTAGGTGATATTTTCCTAATAAGAAAAAAAATTATAACTCATTTATTGTTTGGCAATTACAGATTGTCATTCTCTAAATTATTGGTTCTAAATTGAAGAATTTTTTGTTTTCCTGGTTTGGTTTTTTGTGTTTGTGATGGTGTTGCATATTATAAAGGTAATCTGAAATTTACCCTCTTAAATGCAGTTCCTGGAGGATATTTTCTTCATAGACTTAGAATGATGAACTACATTTTAAATTAGTAAGTGTCCTCTGTCAATTCTGTATTTCAGACTTGGGAGGATGTACAGTTGCTATTGTATGGCCAACATGTCTTGTGTAGTTTCAGAAAATCAAGTTGAGCTTGGAAAAGTTTTGTCTTAGTTTTGTGGAAGTGACTTAATCTTTAAAAAAAAAGAGAGAAATAAAAGGAAAAGGAATTAGAAAAATACTCCTACTGCCAAATGTGTTAAATACTGTTTTAGTAGATGAAAGTGAATTTATTGTATTTCCCTTAAGACTGTGAGGGAGTGTGGATTTAGTAGAATGAGCCAACAGTTTCTTTAAAGTAATAAGGTCTGCAATAAATTATTTCACTAGCTCTAAAACCTTTTCCCTAGATTTTAGTAGGGAGTTGGTTTCTGTTCATCTCTTTGGGTGCTGTGGTAGTAAATGCTACATTACACATTAATGTCGGCGTGTATTTATGATTAGGCAGAGTATTGTATACATTTTTTAATGGCAAATTAAAGCTGAATGTGTAATGGATTCATGTATAGTTTTACATATTTGGAAGCATTTTTAACATAGGTTTTTAACATTACATAATGTTGCTTTTATACTTACGTTAACATTTTCATCTGTGCCTTTTGGGTAATTTAGTTTTATTATGAATTTCTGGTGCCTATGAGCTAGCTATCACCTGAAAGGTGCTTAGAGGTGAAGGTACTGTCCCTAAAAGTGCATCACTGTGATACCTATCTATCCTCATACCTTCAGTCTTGCCTCTTCCTGTTCTTTTTGGATACAAGGTAACTGATTGCATTGCTCATGTATAGTTTTTAAAATGTCAACATCCCCTACACTCTTTGACTGTGTTTCTGATTTTATAATAATAACTATTTTTGAATATCAGAGCTCTGATCTGTTTTATATGAATAAAATGTATAAGGTATTATAGAAGTAAATAACCGAGCACAGACATTACTAATAAGAATTTTGGTCCTTCCTCATCCCAGTTTTGTAATGAAAAGTATGCTATCAGTATACGTAGAAATCCCTACAAAAAGTGGACATATGTAAGGCTTTCCTTACCTTAGACTTCATAGTTAATCTAGGATTTGGCTGTAGAATCTCTTCTGAAAGTGCTTTTCAGGCAAGAGTACCGAAGTGGCTGCCATTTCCTACTCCAGGGGATCTTCCATACCCAGGGATCGAATCCACATCTCTTGCGTCTCTCCTGCGTTGGCAGGCGGTTTCTTAAGCCCAAGCGCCATCTGGGAAGCTCCCCATTGTTTCTCTTCCCCTAGACTTCGAAGTTAATCTAGGATTTGGCTGTAGAGTCTCTTCCAGAATGCTTCCTTCCAATTCAGGTCCATTACCACCTACAGCCTGAGAAACAAGCTCGGAGAAAAAAGGCCACTGTCATGACCTCAAGAGACCTGTTAGATGTGGTTGAGTTTAGAGGACAGAACTCAGTTTTCAGTTTAAATCTCTAGCTACTCGTAAATTTCAGTGAATCCAAAAGTCAGATAGTACTGATAACTTCCTAAATATTTCTGACTGATAGTTTCCACTGAACTAGAGATCAAATATTTGTTCTAGAATTACTGTTGGTAATCATCAAGCAAATCAACAAAAGATTATTATTCAAGCATTTTGAAATGTCAGTCAAGGACAGTGCTGAACCATCAAAGCAAAGCTGTTCCATTCCACCTCGTACCTAAGACAATTGACACTGTCTTTTTGAGTTAGTTGGAGTACCTTTAAAAGAAGTATAGAGGTTATAATTCTGTGTTTTGAATATGTAAATTACAGGTGTTTGTTTTCATATGGCAACCTTACTAATATTTCCCTGTTTGGAAATCAAAAACAAAAAAAATATTGATTAAACTGGCCAGTTATTCCAGGAAGATAACCTTTAAATTTGGACTATCATGGAGTCATTACAATGGAAACACAGACTGAGTGTGTCTTAGGGGGATGTTAATTCAAGAAACACAATTATATTATTGGTATGAAGACCTGGTTCTTATTAAAAAGATGATTTTTAGGATTGAGTTCTGGATATTTGTAGCAGGTAACAGGGGCAGATAAGACAGTTTGATTAAACATGAAAAGAATTCATTGCATGAAGTTGGATATCCAGTCCTGTAATGTATGGCTTCTTAACTATTCTGTCTTTCTCTGTGCGTGCAGCATGTAAATTTGAAGTTACATAAACATTTATAAAGTTTTTTTCTTATCTTTTTCATCTCCATAGTGTTTAGGGCTTTCAGATGGCCTTATTCCAGTGTGCAAAGAAAAAAAATTCATATTTTTTGTGGTTAATGCTTTGATGTGTCATGTAAGGAGTAGTTTGTAGAAAATGTTGGCACAATTTTAACTTTTTAGTGGCTTGTGACATATATTATATATATGTGTATATATATATATCTCTTTATAATATTTCTGTGTTTAGTAGTATAAATGTTCTGGGCAAGTTTTAATATTTCAAATGCCTTTGGATATTCTTGCATGTTTTGTGACCTTGTGTACTTTGAAAATAAAATCAAGAAAGCAGTTTTTTGCCTCATGGTGTGGCTTCATTGTGCCTCTTATTTAAAAAAAAAAAGTGTGCTTTATAATGTTTCAATATACTCTTCTCCCTGCTTTCCTGAGCCAGCGTTTCTTCCCCTACACCCCCTTGCATCTTTTATTAAACAAAGTAAAGATCAGAACAATCACACATCTATGAAAACTTATCAATGAAAATTTTTCCAGTCCTGTGCATCTATATGACAGTGTATAACAATGTTTTTGTGGTTGAAGCCTCCAAAGTTCCATGGAGGATCGTGTCACAATTACAGTCTAAAGAGTTTTCAGATACATTAAAAATGTGTGTACAGTGACTTGCCTGCTGGCCCAGTGGTAAGACTCCATGCTTCCATGCAGGGGGTTCGGGTTCAGTCCCTGGTTGGGGAACTAAAATCNCCATGCCCCATGGTATGGCCAAAAAGAAAAAATGTTCATGCGTATATGTATTAAATACACATACATCTAGTTAGGCTTTAAAGCTATTTTCATTGACTCTAAACAGTGATTTCAGAAAAAAAAAAGGGGGGAGGTAGTAATACTTTTGTAAGAAGATATTTTGAGAAATATTTTGTTTTTACTATAGTTTCTCAACCTTGGCTCTTTTAACATTTGGGGATGGATGATTCTTGGTTGCGGGGGACTATGTGCATTGCTGATGTTTAGCGGCATTGCTGACCTTTACCTGCAAAGGGCCCATAGCTCCTGCCCTCCCCACCAAGAGGTGACAACCAGAAATGTCCCCAGTGTTGCCAAACAGTCACTGGGGCAGGACAACAACACCCCTGGTTGAGAATCAGTGGTTTATACTAATGTGAAGCTTTCTACTCACATTAAAAGAGAGCATAGACTTTGGAGTCAGACATATCTGAGTACCATTTATTACTAGATGCTTTATTTCACTTCAGTTGCCTGGTGTTTAAAATGGGGATAAAAATACCTGCATCACAGGGGATGTTGGAAGATTTTAAAGAAATAAAATTGATATAATGATGAAAATTCTTTGCATTTGTCCCTGTTTGCTGGGATGCTGTAGTGAGGCACAGATTTTCAAAGCATCAAGATTACAATAATATAGGCTTAGTGAAACTACTAAGTATAATTTAATGCTTTTCATTTAGATCATATTTTAATCATGCATTTCTGAAGGTCAGATCATACTTCTGGATAATTAAGTGCCAAATGCCAAAACTGTTGAAATCGAGACACAATTTTTGTCTCAAATTTGAGCATGAAATAATTTGTTAAATAAAAATGGTTCAGCTTTAAGGCATAAACAAATGTAATTTCTAAATGTGGCAAAGGCAGCCAAAAAAAAAAAAGCCAGTGCTAGAAATTCAGCTATTTTTCTTGCTGGTATTTCTGATGTATAAACCATATGGGATTTGTTTTTCTACTTAAATGATTTTTCTAAATTTTTAAACTATTTACAGGAGGAAAAAAGTCATCCTAAGATAACTGCAGAGAAAATAGAATTTCCAGAGTTAATGAAGCACTGAGATATAAATTTTAGTCCAGTTAACCAAGGACTGGGTTCTCGATCAGTATGCTGCTTGTTTTAAGTGCTGAGCTTGGAAATTCTAACTCTAATGGAGACCGTGAGGTGGTGAGAAGACAGAGGAAATTACAGAGGTGACATCTGATGTTAGCTGCCAAGAAAGTGCTAAAAAGCCGTCATCATCTTGACTTTGTCTTTCCCTAAGTCATTTGTTGTCTGTGGTCCTAGCGGATTCGTTGTCTTTAAAGTGTAAATCTGATCATATTGAAATTTAAACCAGATCATCTTAACCTGATATAGAAGGTCTCTGGTGACCTTGCCATTTCTCTGTGGTTTATTTTTTGCACACTCCTAGGTGCATCTCTGTGATAGCCATACTCCAGAAATAAGGGGCAAGGTCTCATAACTTTGTGAACATACCATTTCCTCAACCAGAAAGGAACCCAGCCTTGTTGATCTGCCCAGTGCATAGTTGCCTGCCCATGTCAGTCCACACTCTGTCTCCTTGGAATCGTTTTTCCTATTCCCACCCCTGCCCCTCAACTCAAGCTAAACTAGGGGTGCAAGACCCTCGACATTGCCAGTATGGGTCTTTATGGCACAGAACCTTTTGCATTCTAATTGTTCAGCATGCTCAGTATATCTTCTTGATGAGTTTGACTGACCTTTATCCCCAGTTCCTAACTCTAATTTGCATATTGCTTAGTAAATGCTGAATAAATTTTTGGAAGGGACGTTATGGACATGTGTCATGTGTTTTGTAAGACAATTGGCCTGATTTCTTCCAAGAAGGCAATATCAAGAGGAAAAGGGTGAGTGAGTTCATGTGGTGATGGAAAATTCTGCATAGGGCTTAAAAAGATAAATAAATGTGCAAATAAAGACTAGGTGAACTGACTCAATAAGAGCCAACACAGAAACAACCTAGTTTTTATACAGACCTAGAGCAGTGGAGAAGCATTGGAGAAATACATTTCTAAAACCCTCCTCAGAGATTCTGAGTAGGTTCAGGTAAGGTCAGTGGGTCTGTGTCTCTCCCAGGTTATTTTCAATAATCACCCAAACTTGGGAACTTCTGCATTGTTTGGAAAACTGCAGATGACTGGTGTCCATGCTGCATCACTTGTGGTAGAATGTTTTTTCTTGAGATTCATGAACTTTCAGAAATACTTGAGTCTACCTTCAGTGAGACCAAAAAACTTAAATGCTTAGATATCAGGGCCTAATTTGAATATCAAAATAATATTTCAGAATTTAGGGAAACCTACTTAGGTAAATAAAGCACCATATCGTAGAAGATTTAATTTTTAATGAAAAAATTTTTTTAAATTGACAATATGTCAGTTTTCAAGTCTCTTAAAATGATTAGTCTCCCAAACAGACTAGTCATTTATAATTAATTCTGTGTATAGTTGTATTAGTTTGCTGGGGCTGCCGTAACAAAGTACCACAAATTGAGTGACTTAAAAAACAGAAAGTGACTGTCTCACAGTTCTGGAGGCTAAAGGTCTGAGAGCAAGGTGATGGTAGGATTGGTTCCTTTTCCAAAAAAATTTGAAGTATAGTTAGTGGATTTACAATATTAATTTCAGGCGCACAGCACTGTGATTCAATATTTTTTAATAGATTATACTCCATTCAAAATTATAAAACAATGGCTGTATATCCATGTGCTAGATGATAAATACTTGTAAGCTTATTTTATACATAATAGTTGGTACCTGTCAATACCATACCCCTCTCTTCCCCCTCTCTCTCTGCTGATAACCACAAGTTCTGTATTTGTGAGACTTTTTATGTTTTGCATATATATTCACTTGTATTAGTTTTTGATTCCATGTGCAAGTGATATCATATAGTATTTATCTTTCTCTGACTTAATTCACCAAGTATAATATTCTCCAGGTCCATCCACATTGCTCCAAATGGCAGAATTTCATTCTTTTTGATGAATGAGCAGTATTCCATTGTATACATATGTGAGATTTTATTTATATAAATATATGAAATTTTATATATAGGGATATAGATATATATGGTGGTGGTTTAGTCATGTCCCACTGTTTGCAACCCCATAGACTGTAGCCCACCAGGCTCCTCTGTCCATGGGATTTCCAAGACAAGAATACTGGAGCAGGTTGCCATTTCCTTCTCCACATCTTAATCAGTCATCTGTGGATGGGCACTTGGGTTGCCTCCATGTCTTGGCTATTGTAATAGTGCTGTTATGAACATTAGAGTACACATATCTTTTCAAATTTGTGTTTTCATTTTGTTTGACTGTATACCCAGGAATGGAATTGTTGGATCATATGGCAATTCTATTTTTAGTTTTTGAAGAACTTCCATACTATTTTCCATAGTC